CGGGCCGGCAGCGACGGGCGAGCGGGCTACGACGGCTTAGATGAAAAAACGGAATCTTAAAACATCTTTTTGATGTTTTGAGAAAATTGTTTAATTTTTAGATTTTGTAAAGGGACAAGTCAAAAAAACGCTCCGGTTGTCAAACACGTTTCTTTGTTTTTGTTGAAAAAAAAACAGAAACGGTAAAAACGCCACGATTGCCAAACGCTCTAACTAGTCTAGTAGTCAAACATGCTCTTAATAGGATGTAGCACATGCATCTTCGTAATTTTAGGAAATACTATGGGCTAACAGTTATAGTTAGTTTCTCTCAATCATCTTTATTTAGAGTTGAGATTGTGCGGAGTCGCGTCAACTTCCACTTAATTTTTTTAGATCAAAGTCGAAATTCTGGGGTTACATCAACTTTGCTCTGAAAAGGTGTCGGTGACTGTTGAATACTTCGCGCTCTAAAAGGGTATAGAGTTGAAATTGTGCGTTTGGCATGGGCCTACACTACCTTTGTGTGGACAGGATTGGGATCCTCTACTCATGCATAGTGATTTCTAATATTTGCTAATGCATCTCTACCCTTCATTGTGTGGACCCCACCTTCCACTTTGTACTCATCCACACAATGAATGGTGGTGATGCATTAGCAAACATTAGGAATCACTATGCATGAGTAGAGGATCCCAATCCGTGTGGACACGCCTCTAGGCCCAACCCACCCGTTGCTTCGCGCGACGAAGCAGTGAAGTACGGCCTAAGGGCATTCTCGTAACTTCCTGATCTCCCATTTCCTTCATTCAGGCTCCTTTCCCTTCAAAAAGCCACCCCCTCTCTCTCTCTCTCTCTGGAAAACCCAGACTCTTCTCTCTCCTCCCTCCCTCCCTCCAAATTCCCGCCCCCATTTCCCCAAACCCCTTCCTGGGTCCTCATAATCGCCCCCCAGATGTCCACAGAGAGCGTCGGATCATTCAATCCTTCGCCATTCGAACCCCCAGACCCCACGAGCCCTTCTCAGGAGCAGCACAAAACCCAAAACTTCTCCCCAAATACCCCCGACCAGTTTCAGAGCAGGAGGAAGCTCATCATCTGCTACAGTTGCAACCGAGAGGGCCATTACTCGACTACTTGTCCTAACAAGAACAGGGGGAGCCCCGGGGCTTCGCCCAGCAAGGCATTGTTCCCAAAATGCCCCCAGAAGTATCCTGAGTTGGAGTGTAGAGCTTGTGGGCAAGTTTGTGTTGTGAGGACGTCGCGCACTGAGAAGAACCCTGATAGAGATTTCTACGCCTGTCCTGTGAGTTGAATTTTTTTGGTTTTTTTTTGAGCCTCGGGTTGTTTATTGTTTTAGTTGTTTGTGAAATTAGTGATATGGGTTTTGCTTCAGAGCCTTCACTTTTTTCTCATGGGGTTCACCCCTAAAAACAAAAACTCTATGTTTTGTAGTACTTTTTAGCAATTATTACATGCCAACTAAGCATAAAAAGAGAATAAAAAAATAAAAAAATGTCATTATCTCTTCTATTCTTTCATGTTAAGTCTAAAAACAAGTTGAATTAAACTTAACATGAAAGTCTATTTCATGTTAAGTCTAATTCAGTTCATGTTAAATCTAATTTAATTCTTTTTAAGTCTAATTTAAATCATGTTATGTCTAATTTAACTTGTTTTAAATCTAATTTAATTAATGTAGACTTTCATGTTAAGTCTAATTCGGTTTATGTTAAATCTAATTTAATTCTTTTTAAGTCTAATTTAAATCATGTCATGTCTAATTCAAATTGTTTTAAGTCTAATTTAATTCATGTTAAGTCTAATTCAACTTGTTTTAAGTCTAATTTCATGTTAAGTCCAATTTAATTAATATTAAGTCTAATTTAATTTTTTTAAGTCTAATTTAAATCATGTTATGTCTAATTTAAGTTGTTTTAAGTTTAATTTAATTGGACTTAACATGAAATTAGACTTTAAAAAAGTTAAATTAGACTTAACATGATTTAAATTAGACTTAAAATAAATTTAATATGATTGGAATTAGACTTAAAATAAGTTAAAATAAACTTAACATGATTCATGTTTAGTCTAATTCAACTTATTTTTTAAACTTAAAATAAGTTGAATTAGACATAACATGATATAAATTAGACTTAACATGAATTAAATTATACTTAATATGAACTAAATTGGACTTAACATGAACTAAATTGGACGTAACATGAAATTAGACTTAAAACTATTTAGATTTAAAATAATTTTAATTAGACATAAAATGATTTAAACTGGACTTAACACGAACCAAACTGGAGTTAACACAGATTAAACTGGACTTAACATGAAATTAGACTTAACATGAATCAAAACTGGACTTAACATGATAAACTGGACTTAACATGAAACTAGACTTAACATGAATTAAAACTGGACTTAACATGAAATTAGACTTAACATGAACCAAATTGGAGTTAATATGATAAACTGGACTTAACATGAACATAGAGTTAATATAATAAGCTGGACTTAACATGAAACTAGATTTAACATGAACCAAATTGGACTTAACATGAAATTAGACTTAATATGAACCGAACTGGATAACTTAACATGAAATTAGACTTAATAAGTCTAGTTCGGTTCATATTAAGTTTAATTTCATGTTAAGTCCAGTTTGGTTCATGTTAAGTCTAGTTTCATGTTAAATCCAGTTTATCATGTTAAGTCCAGTTTGGTTCGTGTTAAGTCCAATTAAATTATTTTAAGTCTAATTTAAATTGTTTTAAGTCTAATTTCATGTTATGTCCAATTTGATTCATGTTAAGTCCAATTTAGTTCATGTTAAATCCAATTTAATTCATGTTAAGTCTAATTTAACTTTTTTAAAGTCTAATTTCATGTTAAATCTAATTAAATTAGACTTAAAACAAGTTTAATTAGACATAACATGATTTAAATTAGACTTAAAAAAAAATTAGACTTAATATGAATTAAATTGGACTTAACTGAAATTAGACTTAAAACAAGTTGAATTAGACTTAACTTGAATTAAATTAGACTTGAAACAAGTTGAATTAGACATAACATGATTTAAGTTAGACTTAGCAAGAACCGAATTAGGCTTAACATGGAATAGACTTTCATGTTATGTCTAATTCAACTTGTTTTTAGATTTAACATGAAAGAATAGAGGAGATAAAGCCATTTTGGAGTTTTTTTACTTTTTATTCTTTCTCTATGCTTAGTTGACATATAATAATTGCTAAAGAAGGGCTGCAGAACATAGTGTCCTATTTTAAGGGTTGAACCACATGAGCAAAAGTCAAAGGGGCTGCAACACATTAAGATTTTACTTTTGGAACATTGACACAAATTTCCCTTCAATTAGAGTTGATTCCTTCATTTTCCCTAGTCTTCTGTGACACTGACAATTTTTTTTTAATATAGTTTCAGTTCTGACTTTGAAACATAGAAAGTATTTAATATTGGTCTAGAGCTATTATGACTTTAGAGAGTCAGATGGTACTTTGACATTTATTATTGTTTTTTAATCTTGGGTGTTGAACTTAGTGGTCTTGGTTTTTGCTTATGCTTACGTTCTTTGGTTTGGATGTAAAGATGGGATTTTGGTGTAATATTTTACTTGAGTAGGAGGTTTTTGGATAATTTCTCCTGTTTGTTCTTCGTCTTTATTTTGTTCTTTTAGTTAGGCATCATATTAACAACAAGGATTCTCTTCATCTCTGTTTTGTTTTAGTTGCTTTTATATCCTGCAGCCTGCAGTGTAGAAAATATTTGACTTAATTTGGAGTTCTTATTTTATTTATCAAGGTCAACTTTAGTTGTTTAAAATACCATGAGTTCTGATAATTGTTAGTTTACCATATTGGGATGTGAATTATGAAATTTTGGTTTGGTAAGATGGTAGTTTTGTGTTTAATGTAGAAAGTGCTCTGCTTTGTTTAGTATTCAAGTGGCAATGTTGTAGTTATTACAGTGGTGCATTTATTAAGTTCTGGGGATTGTGTTTGTATTTCTTAGTTCGGTTTGGAATTGGTGATTTATGAAGAGAAGTTTTTGATTTGGATCTAGTATTTAAGTCGAGCTTGGACATAAATGTGTATCTTTTATAATCACTTGTGTCACTGTTTTTAGCTTTATGTGAAAGTACGATATTCAGATATCATGTTTCGTATCTGAAACATGCTACTGTTGTTTTTGTTAAGAATATTATTGCCTGTTTGTTTTGTTTTATATAAGCAACCTTCTATATATTATTTGATTCTAGTTTGCATCTTGGATGTGTTCGTCGTGAATATTCTCATTATCCCTGCATTTATTGTGGATTTTATTTTATGTTCTTTCTTGAACAATGTTTTTTTTTAATTTCTTCGAATAATTGTAGAGGGGGAATATGTGCAATATGTTTCAATGGTGCGATGAGGTTGGTAAAATTCGGCCAACTCACATGTACAGCCCAGTGAAACCAGTTAAGCAGCACGATATGTCTTTGTTGAAGAATCCTGAATGCCCTTGTACTGCTGGACCATGTAGAATTGAGAAAAAGCAAAGCGGCCGCAAGTACTATGCCTGTCACTTGAAGATGGTAATATTTCTTTTATCAAATTATTTTCACTATAAAATTATTTATGTGGTTGGTGCGTCCTTATAGACTATAAATCAATTGAATATCTTTCAGTTGCAATAACGCAATTGCTTGTGGTATATGCAATTTCTCAGGTTGTAGAATTCAAAATTATTTGAGTCAACAGCTACCTTATATTAGTTATTCTAATCAAATATAACTGTTTCGGACAAGCTATTTTGATATCAACCAGCTCGTTCATCTTGAAGCTATTTTGATATCAACCAGCTAGTTATTCTAATCAGGTATAACTGTTTTGTTGAAGTTTTAATACCAACCAGCTAGTTCATCTTAAAGGTCTTTGCTATAGAGATTCTTTGGGAGATGGTTTCCCAGAGTGATGGTGCATTCGTTAGTTGGCCTGCTCCAGTTTCTTATTCTTATTTTCTCGATGGTGTTTTTTTCGTTATTTGTAGATATTTGTAGGCTTAATTACTATTGCCCCAGAAGTCACTACAAAATATTATCATTAGGTTTATCATCAAATCTTTTAAACAATGGTGTCCAACTTTGCTATAGGTCCTTGCTAAGGTTCTGTGCAACTTGCACTAACTTCCACCAGCCATTGTAGTATAGTGAACGAAGTTTTTGTTTTTTGCTCTTAACAAAAATAGCGTATGGCATTTTTTTTGGTTGCGAAACCCTAATGGTAGTTTTGTGAGAAGTACTTTAATTTTAGCTCCAGAGGGCTTGCTTATTCTACTCTAGCTCCAGAGGGTTTGCTTATTCTACTCGAACATGACTGCAAGTCAAAACACTTGTTTAGTGTACATTGAGAATAAATGTTCTTGCACATGCTTGCACTGATCAAATGTATCTTTATTGTATATTGACATGATTTCTATGTTTTCATCTTGAATTTTGTTATAGTAATCTTAAAAAAAAAACCTTGATATACTGTGTTTCAATAAAGTAAGCAAATTTAAGGCTCTCAATTGTAAAGATTATAAAAACCATCAACAGCATATAATCAATGTCCTTTTGATGTAAAGAGTTATTGAAGTCATGCTCAATTCTAGATTCTATTAGGTTTAACGTTATCTAGAAATACTTTTCTTCTTTATCAATTATCAAGATATTTCAGCCCTTTGTTCCCGTGGATGGGGGAAGTAACAAGGGATGATCTAAAGTGATAATTCTTGCAGAAGCTCTAATGAGAAAGTGTAAAATTTTGTTATTTTCTAAAAGTTTTTATTTTTAGTTATGGTTTTCCTGTTAAGTTTCCCCCTCTATATTTGTCTACCTTCTGAAGTTCTGTCAGCAGGGACAAGGATGTTGCAATCATTTTGAATGGTGCGACGGTCAAGGAGATGGCGCTGAAATGAATATGGCAATTGAGGGACAAAAAGGTATGGGGACGGATAAACCAGCGGAGGTAAATCTTGCAATATTTCCATCGGCACCATCACCATCAACTAACCCAAGAGCAGAACACGAGGCTAACTGTTCAGGATCGAGATCATCTCGGATAAGAGGCAGCCTGTCACTAAAAGAATGGATGTGATAGTGTCTTGCATCGAACAATCTCATAGCAAACAAGATGTCAATGTGGTTCATGGTTTGTTTTCACGAGTGAAGAGGTTAAGTTTAGAAGAAGGCAACTCAACGATGTCTCAGGAATGTGTCGATGTGTGGGTATGCATTGTCGGTTGCTATCATTTTGAGAGAGGAAGAGAGACTATATAATATGTCACATTGCTGATATATATTCATGTAAATTATTTATGTACCTGTATGTATTATCTTATCTTTGTTACTGAATCAGTATGGCAGTCTTTTTTGTATAAAACCTGTCTTTGTTCTTAAATATGGAAGTGTTTCTCTCTCTCTCCTGTATGTGTTCAATGGTGCACATCGAGCCCCTTTACTATTGTGTGGAGTGACTCTTTGACTAAATCTTTTTGACTCTTTTACCCTGAGGTCTATTCGTCAAAAAATAATTTTCTCTCTTTCTCTGGTGGTAAAAGGTAAAAAAAATGTCCGTGGGTGGGAATTTCTGTCCTCACCAAAGCAAGGGACATTGCTATTTGAATGCTATGATAGGATTTGGTATCACTATTTCTTTCTTATATGGGAGGTTGCTCAGATTAATTCGCATTTGTGTTAAAAGCTTATTTTCTTCAATATGAGGGTTTCCTTAATGAAAGCTTGTACATTTGGAAAGTTTCTCCAAACAGATAATTAACATGAAAATAAGGTAACTTTTAACGATTATTAGATAACCCCTCATAACTTTCAAACTATCGGAGAACTCCCTTTTAACTGCAAGAGTTTTCCAACCCCTAAGTAGCATTAAACTCAATTTTTGAGTGGGCTCGTAAAATTACGCGTGGGAATATCAAATAAAAATCGCGGTTAACAGTTTTCTGATAAAATTTTAAAGTTAAAGGAGAATTTTCTGATATCCCAAAATCTTAAAATAAACTATAGTAAAATATTGAAGAGCAGGCTTAGCATTTGGGAGGGTTTTCAGTTTCTTGTATCATACTCCCTTTAAAAGCACGAGTTCAGAAAATCTTTTTTAGACAAATATACCCCTTTATAGTTTGAACTAACTTATCTATAATCAAATTCTAATTTTCAATGGTCAATATTAATCTTCACTATTTTAAATATTTTATTTATATCTTAATCTATCCTAATCATAATCATATCTTATCCTAATCCTATGTGAACCATGTTTAGCTTAACAATTTAAAAAAACTAATATTAATAAAATATATAAAACATAAAAATGATATTAGTTTGTTAAGATAAAGAAATTACAAGTAGATAACATATTATAATACATGAAGTATTACAAAAAAATCATAAAAAGTTTTAAAATTGCAGAAAAGACTCTGAAAAGTTCAAAGAAAAAATCTTCATGGAAGACATAAGAAAAATTAGTAAGTATTCATAAATTCCATACTGTGTTCTTCAAATTAAATATTAATATTATAATCTAAGAGAAATTGGTAATGAATAAAGTAGGTATTTAGTTTAGATCTTTATGGAAAATGACAGGGATAGAGCAAATGTAATATTATTGAAATAATAAAAATTCTTATTGGATGCATATCAGAAGAATTCATTTTAGAGGAAAATAAAGAGATAGCTTCTAATTTATTTAAGTAATAAATTAGGAACACAAAGAATTTTATATATATGAAATTAATATTTATTCTCATTGAAATAGAAAAAAAATCAAAGTCTATATTTTGAGCAGTTTGTGTTGAACATCATAAGTACATTTGACTTCTTTGTAAAGTTAAATGAGATGATAAAAAATTAACGAGCCTAGGAAAGATAATAGCATAAAAAATACAAAATTAGCCTGATGTCACAATTGATGTAGATGATGAAGACAATACTCTAGAATTGTCCGAGAAATGATAAATGATAAACCTGAAGAAGGATTGATCTTAACTCAATAAAAAATAAAATAGAAGAAATAAAAACAATATTTTATGAATATTTTATAGAATAGTTTAATTATTTTGAGTGAAATTAGGAATCTTTAGAAGGGAGTTTCATGAATTTTTTTCAGTACTTTTATATTCTTATGTGGATGTTTTTATCATATAAAAGTATACTAGAGTTAGCATTAATCTTTAATTTATATTTTTTTATGAAGTCTATCAATGATTAGGAATAAACTTCATATTCTCTTTTGCATCGTTTTAACATACTTTAAATCAATCATTTTGCCATATTGGTTTTAAATATTCACCTTCCTTGTATAACACTATTTTAATATTTTTTACTTTGCAATGCTATACTTTCTCAAATAAAGCTTAGTTTTATATCTGTCAAAAATAATATAAATATTCAAATTATTTTTAAATTATATTTGTTTTTTGTCAATTCAAATATCAACATAAAAAATTTAAATTGGGTGTATCCCATTTAAACAAACATAAAAAAATAATCGGGATGTAAGAGTTTAAAGAAAAAAATGAGCACAAATTGCCAAAAATACTTAATCATGGTATTAAATCACGTGCATTGCACGTGTGTAAAAACTAGTTTTTCCTAAAAGAGGGGGAAAAACATACACTCGTTTTTGCAATATAACGAAATTCTAGCGTTACGATGAAAAACAGCCGATAACCTCGGGTCTGAATCAACGCCTCTGATTACACATATCTAAATCCAACGATCAGAGTTTACCTCCTTAGACTATAAAACAAGCCAAAATCACTATTCGAAGAACAAACACTTTCTAGGGTTTGCCGGCGATCTCAGCGTTTCTGCCAAAAATGGTACTTTTCTCTATTCTTTGCCCCTGTCTGACCCTAATTTTCACAGATTGTATTGTTCTGATCACTCTTTGCTTAGATTTAGTTGTAATTTGGAATCTTTTTCATCAAATTTTGTCAGAATCACTCTTCAATTGCTCTTAGAAATTTGGAGTTTTCCTCCTTCAGGGTTTAATTGCAGTGTTGTTGGAATATCGTATAATTGTGCTTTTGCAAAATTGAGAACTTTCTTTTTTCTTTAATCTTTTTTTGCAAAACTGAGATTAATAGTAATAGTAATAGTAATAGTAATAGTAATAGTAATAATTTGTGATCATTTGATTGCAGGTTGTAACCTCACGTCACGGCTAGTTCATAAACTTTAATTTCATAATCCTATTTCATTTGGTCTTAAAAGATCCATATTTCATAAAGCTCAGTTTCCTTTTGGGATGTTAATTAGTGCCCATTTTTTTTGACATTGTTTTTGTAATCAATGTGTAATCTGTAATGTGCTGGGCAAATTCCCTTTGCGCACACATGTTCAAGGCGCAACTTGATGCATGCGCTCAAGTTAATTGAAGAACACACTGTATACATGGTTTTTCAATGTAGATAATCAAGCACAAAAGAACATGTTATGAATTTTCACATAAAATGTGTCAAGATGAACATCTCCTACCAAATCACAAAATAAGATATTATTTCACAATGCTGACACCCCCAGTATAGTAGTGAACTTGATGATTTTCCAAGTCCAAAGTCAAATCAAGAGTAGTATACTAATATAAAATCAAAATTACATAGTAAATGTGAATAAGTTAGGCACCTAGGGTTCTCAGTCGGGCCACTAACAGGGTCTAACATGTTTATTTATTTATTTATTTTTGGATGCTCGATTGAAATGTCAAAGAATAAAAATATGAAATTATGCCTTGGATGTGTCCTGTGTGAAGCGTGGGGCACGTACAAGGTGCAAAAAGGTGCTGCCTTGCATTTGCTTAGTGCTCCACATCAGATCCAGCACTCTTCACTGCCACCCCACATGGCAAGGCGCAAAAGGCCAGTGAGGCACACGGCTTTGTTATCACTGGGCGTAGCATGTGGTCAAACATCAACTCGACTTTAGACCCAAAAGATAAATCTGGTTTAGAGATCAAAGTCAAACAATTAAATAAATAATCAAACTTTAATTTCTATACCTCAAAGTTGAAGGCTACATGATGGTGAGACTCTAGAAACTAATATAGTTATTTATATACCCATAAACTAATATAGTTATCAAATAACTGATTTGATCCAAAACTTTAAGAAACCAAGTTTTTACTCTAATTTATATTTATAAATGTATTACTTTTCCTCTTCTTTTTTTTATGTAAAACCATAAACTGAAGACATTTTTGTGAAAAATAGTTTATAACCATTCTAGATTAGTTTTTGTTATCTGGTGCTCATGCATATACTTACAATATAGAGAAAATCTAAAATGGAAGATCTCATAGATATCGATTTACTACTTCACTTAGACACATGTAAGGATAGTTCAAATCTAGAATACGATGATATCATAATTGTTACATGAAATCTAGTTTGAACCGTACATATTTCCTAGCCTTATTACACAATGATTTTTTTTCCAAAATTCATTTCACTTCTGCATTAAGCTAACCAGTCAAATTTCCAAAATTCTGGTTAGCTTAATGCAAGAAAGTATTCTTAAAACGTAAATTTGATTGGTTCATCAAGTTTCCATTTTTATAATTCCATATCTTTGGGTTGTGTCAGAGGTATTGAATGGAATAATTTTTAAAATTGACATAATGATAAAATGTCAACGTATTTTACACCAAAATTGTACCGAATTTAGAGTTCGAGTTCAAACATTAAAGAAATAGATGAAACTTTAATATCTATACTTGAATGTTGGAGAGAACTTGGTAGCAGGACATCTCAAGAATCTAACTATTCTTTGATAACCTATCTTATCCATACACTTAAGTTCTATGTTACGCGGGTACTTCTATTCTATAATGAACCCGTACCCGTACCGGACACGTACCCGACACTTTCCCTTACCCAAACTTCATGTACAATGCTTGAATATATGCATGCATTTATTATAGCATTTACTCAATTATACGATATATGTGTTAATTTAAAACACTTGTCAAAGACTTCCTGGACGTAGAGCTTACACTTAACATCCGTCTTTTGAAACTAATGAGATACAGGTCGGATTCGTTTCAGTCCATACCCAAGTTTAAAACTATATAGTTAATGGGTCGTTTAGATGTCTAGTAAAAAAATGAGTAGTTTACAATTCACGATAATCAATATGATAAAAGAAACTCAAAAATGTGATCGGAATTTTAATTCTAATGACATATGAAGGGGAAAAAATTATCTTATGTACAAAATATTATTTCAATATATATTTGTAGTCGTGTCCCCGTACCCTACATTTTACAGTTTGCCGTGTCCCGTACCCGCACCCGCACCCGCACCCGTACCAGTACCCGTGCCTGTTTCCATGCAACTTAGCACTTAACTGAGTCTTGATTCATTGTAAATTTATGATTAAATGTCCAATGCTTTTCCTATTCTCTATTGGTGTTTGTACTTAGGATAAGATCAAGTGATTCATTTAAGTAGTGAATCTCATAAATCTTGATCTCTTATTTGCTTAAAATTTCAGTAGCAACTTGAGTACGACGCATATTAACTCAAACGAAAATCATTTTACGTTAACGTTCACATTGATACGTGTGTTACTTATTGTAATACATGTTATGCATCATGGTCTCGATTCTTTTCCTCCATAAGTGTATTTCATATTTTCCTCCAAAATGTTATGTCATTCACCAAGAAAATGCCTTGAAAAGGAGATCACAATTTACAAATAGCAGATAGATTGAAGTACCAACAAATTTCCTGTCCCAAGTGTATTGCAGAAGAAGATCAGCATCTTTCTGCTGAATCAAATTAAGCTAATGAGATTAGATATAGAGGGAGTATTAGGATGTGAGAAAGCACACTCAACAATGTATGTGACGTTGCAATGTGTTGGAAACATATTTGTTGCCGCAGGTGGTAATAGCGTGAAAGGTGATCAGCCTATTCTATTATACTATTCTCTATCTTTTCCTAACGTCTGCTAAAGTTTTAAACCCATAAACTGTGAATCAATAGCCTGTCTTTTTCCTCCAAGCCATACTCAATTATATTGTGCCCACTCCCTTCCTTTATTCTGGAGTTTGGAATCTATGCAAGTCTCTCCAATGGTTCATATATAGAATAATAGAATCATCATTGCTAAAGTTTAATGGTGAACTTTTTTGGATAATTGCTATAATCATTATTTTTTGGATTGTAGAACTTGAAATATTGTTTTTTAATGGAATCTTCCGGTCTTAGGTTAGTCAGTAATGTATTCTTGATGCATTCTTGCATGGACTATGAATTCGGGAAAAGAAAGAAAGAGAGTAGGCTGGAAATATGGTTTTGAAAGAAGGAAATGAGTAGATGGGACTTAATAGGCGAAAGAGGAGGTGTTGTCTTATTTCCTCTTTAAGTTTTTGGTTTGAATGCATATTATTTGATAACATTAGTTTCAATGAAAACATTAAGTTAGCTAGGTTACCTGGACACTTCATCTAGGTTGCCATATCTGTCTGGCTCTTCTCGTGTAACATCACAATTTTTTTTCTTCCGATGATCAGATACCGTTACCAGTACCAATCCATGAATCAATATTTTTTCTTTTTTCCTTGTCTCGTGATCTTTTAGCATGAGGATGCAAACTTAGCTAACCTTAGCCAATCATGTTTTAAACCTTAATTAGAGTTAATCTAATTTGATAAATACCTATTTTAAAACTCTCTAAATAACACATTTAAATATTTGATCAGCTATGATAGTAGGTGAACTTTTCACAAAAGCCCTTACAAATTACCATATTCCATGTTTTTCCAAGCACATGGGTGAAGTGTATATAACACTCCAACACTCTCTTTCACTTTTATTTTCAAGAAAGAAAATTGCCAAACGCTCTTTCCCCTCCACCACCTCTGTCCGGTCTCACCTAGCAGCAAGCCATTTCTTTTTTCATCATTAATCTAAAAAAAAAAAAGAGTAAGCTTGAGATAGCCTAGAAAAGGCATTGAGGTTTGGAAAGGGAGGAAATTTGGACATCCTCTAGGTAAAATTTCACTTAAAAAGGACATTGCTATAGAAAGTTTTGACCAAAATACTAACATGATGTCTTGTAGGAAACTTCTGCACGAGAATAAGTCATGGAGATCGACATGCAACCCATTCAATCACCCATACATTGCATGCAACTTATAACTAGATTCAAAGATCATCTTTTTCACAACTTGAAACGAAATATTCATGCAAGATCATATTTTTATTGAAAAATAAGAGCAAATGTGGTGGTGTTTATACTTTCTAATGCCATGCATGAACCGAAATACCACCTACCTTTACATGCAAGCCTAAATTCAACTAAAAAAGTACATTGCAGGATCAAAGCAGCTATTAACCAAGGACAACTCAGATTTACACTTGCTTGAATAGTTAAAATATAGATAGAGTGGACTTTTATATGGAAGATGTCCAAATCTCCTCTTTCCAAGCCTCAATGCCCTTTCTAAGTTATCTCAAGTTTGCTCTTCTTTTTCTTGAGAAGTTATATGATGGAAAAAGAAATGAGATTGTTGCTGGATGAGGTCGAACAGAGGTGGTGGAAGGGAGAGAGGGTTTGACAATTTTTTTCTTGAAAATGAAGGTAAAAGAGAGTAGTGGAGTGTTATATACACTTCACCCATGTGCTTAGAAAAACATAGAACATTGAGGGATTTTTGTGATAAATTCACCCATTATCTTGGCTGACCAAAATTTTAAATGTGTTATTTAGAGAGTTTTAAAATAAGTATTTATCAAATTAGATTAACTCTTAATCAAGGTCTAAATATGGTTGGATAAGATTCACATGCTAGATTTAATATGCATCCTATTACTTA